CGAGACATGAAACATTTGCCGCATGGTTTAATTTTTTTGTCCCAGAGACAAATTGTCTCACAAAAAAGTAAGAAAATGCAAGTGACAATTTAGAATAAAATTCAAACATGTTTACTTAGTAAACATTTGAATACACTTGTAAACTGAGAACAGACTTCTCAAGGTAGAGTGAACCAATTGAGTATTGGTCACCAAATCAGGAGGAGAATAACGCACTGGAGAGGAGCAATTGTAGCCAAGGTGTTTATTGCTCAACTGCTAGGCCTGGAACAGAGTCTAAATACTCATGTTCCATACAATGTATCAATATCATTATGCAAATAACTAAACTAAACAACATAGCCTCAAATCATTACAACACTATTTCCACTACAACATGGATGGGTAGTTGTCTTGTACTTTCTGAACTGATGGAACAATTCTGCCCCCACATATTTAATTCCTGCTGAGAACACTGTTGATAATAAGACACAAACAAAAATTGAAGCAGAAATATCTATTTTTGTTAGGCCGAAACGAAAAAAATTAAATGTGATTCTGCCTGGTAAAACTAAAGTAGGATAGGGACATGTAGGTAGAAATAATTTTATTTTATCATAACTTTTTACTTTACAAAAATTAATTAATTATTCTCAATTTATTATTCTACAGTGCTGCTTGGCCCATACTGTTATACAAAATGTATTTTCCAATAATACATCATATCTGGCATGTAGAACTGAAAGGTGTACCTACAAGTGCCCATATGTTCAAGTTTGACCATAAAAAGATACATGGTCAGCTGGAAAAACAAGGCAAGGTCAGGTTATCGGAAATTCGTTTTTGTTTTGTTTTTTAGCCTTGTGGCACAATAGTACAGTATATACAAGTACTTGTATGTAGAGTGCAAAAAATAAATTCAGTACATGTATACCTCTTTAACTGAAATGATTTCAACTAATGATTATGGATGAAATTGTACCAATAACTAATTAGATTTTATACTCGTCAAAATACTGAATCCAATTCTCAGACAAAAATACTTACCTTCTCCAGTTCCCCCTCCCCCTCCTTTGGGGGTCATCAGTTCTCTTCTAAGTTTGGCTAACCTGGCCTTCAAAAGTCCCAAGTGGCCAGATGTTGCTTTGTTTTTCTGTGTACGAGCCATCTAAAGGATAATTAGAAATACTGAAATCAGGACTTTCAGATTTTGTTGTGATTGCCTCGCAAATATGGAGAAATCTTTTACAACTACCCAAAACAGCTGATTTTTTTAAATAAATAGTTATTACACATCATGTTGATAAATTTTGATGAAGGTTATGAAGGTGAGATTTTCGATGTTGATTTTAGCCTGGTCGTTAATCGTGAACACTCAAAGTTTCTGAACTTCTCTTATGTTTCTAGCAGCGAGACACTTGATAGCGATACTGGCATATAACAGGGATTGAAATAGAATTTTTTCCCTGCATGCATAGTGTGCATGTTGAATTTAAAATTTAACTGCACTAACTTGTTGTGAAATGCACCACTTTTAAAGTTTAAATAAAATTTACGGTATATACATTGATGCGATCACGAAAGAATTTGCTTTTTTTTTTAGTTGTCTTACAATGTTGGTTGAACTTAATTTAGGATTAGTGAATATAATGAGGAAATGTTAATTTCTACATGCACAGCATGCACATTATATTTTGAGTTTACTTGCACTAGCTTATAATCTATGTGCATAGTGCACCAGAGTATTTCGACCCCTGATATAAGCAACAAAAAGTTACCCCTGGATACACACACTGTTCATATTCTGTAAAGTGATAAACTTAAACATAAATAATTGTTTATCTATTTGTCCCAGCAGCTTTATCCTATTTTTTTTTATTTAAGTCTTCAGGTGTCATCAACAAATTAACCTATCAAAGCTTATGGAACAGAAATCGTACGTTTGGTATTTGGGATTGTTTTCTTTGCACTTTATCTGAAACATGATGTGTGAGGGCGTACTTCAATTATGTCAGCTGTTAGACTCGTGTGAAGCATGGTGGTTTATTGACAAGTATCGATGACCTGTCGATCTGAGCAACTGCAGATCAGACACGGGTTGTTTTTCTGTGAATATTGAAGTTAGAAAGACTGACAAATCAAGGTGTTCATCGATTTTGTAGAAGTTTGAGCTGGGCAACATGTGTTATTCTGTCCATAATAATTTTAATTACATACATGTGGTTACAGCAAATTTAACGAATATTTTAATATTTGTAACCTGTTTTTTGGGAGGATAAATTCATTCAAACACTAACATTGTCGTCTATGGAAATCTAATTAGTGGTATGAGCCCTTCAAGTCAATATGTTAAACTGTGAACTAATCGACAGACACGTGTATATTGGAGTCAATAAATCTACAAGTTAAAGAATTAAACACATAGACTAGAATCAATATGATACTTACTTCAGCCTCTATTTCCGATATCTTTTCCAAAATACCCATTTTGATGCGAACTGACAGCAAATTTACAAGAATTTCACGACGTTTGCGACAATCGCAAAAAAAAAAAAACGCGGGTGTTTGTTGGTCAGTTCGTTTCACCACAGCTATATTTAGCGCCCCCAATTGACAAGAAATGATGAGGCAAAAACGGCGCACCGACTACACATTAATAAATCAAAGAAAGGGTGCATTTAAACAAGAAGCCTGGTGATTAATATAGCTTTGCAATGTGACCCAGAGTTTATAAAATTATTAAAACAAATGAATAAACATGATTGCTTAGATCATTGGCTATCTGTGATTTATCCCAGAGCACATATACATCAAGTTTAATTTTAAGTGAACTACGACAGAGCACCAAAGTACTAAGTTCTATTGATATGTGATGGTACTTAGGATATCAGTGGAACAACTAAAAGTCTGCACCAGTGTTTTTGGATGACAATTATGCAAAGTAATATATGGTCACAAGATACGTAAATTACATTTCTTGTACAGTGCTTTCATTTTATTTTATTTATTTATTTTTTTATTTTTATTAGACGCATAAAATCCTTAGGAAAGGATAGAAAGGGTCTTACAGAAAGAAATTAAAACAAACTACAATCTAAAAAATAAAACAAAAAATAAAAACTTTTCTAAAAAAAATCAAAAAAATCAAAATCAATAGACAATTTGCAGCCAATGGTGAATACAGAATGAACACAAAATGTAGCCTAATACACTGATAGTTGTTGCTGTTTTGTTCCATAGCTGTTTTTTAGGAAGACTGCTAAGGCATTAGTCATGTTTGCATGTCTGTATTTGCTACACTGCTCGAGATATTAAAGTTATGCATATTAATGAGGTCACATGACATACATGGGCCTCCTATATGTTGGTCACAACTTATCCAGTGCCTCAATTATAGCATTGGTTACACACGTGTATATGCAATAGTTCTCTCCCTACTACAATTACGCATATTAATGAGGTCACATGGCCATATATTTATCTCATATTCGTTGTCTTAATTATGGCATTGTTTGTAGTTATTTATATATATATATATATAACAACCTCATCTGCGAAAGCTAAATATTAGACTTATGAATTCAAGATAGCCATTGGTTGCAAAAGTACTTCATATATAAAAGTTATGTATAATAATGACCATTCATCTTTGAACGACTCATTTTTGTCCCTCAAATAGTGTTATATTGTCTCCCATCATCGCATCTGCAGTTCCCCTGACCAGACCAGACTGGACTGGACCGGACCGGACCAGACCAGACCAGACCAGACCAGACCAGACTGGACCGGACCGAACGTGACCTGACCTACATAACTATATGGTATTTGGAATAATACTAGTAGGCGTGATGATATGAATGAATGGAATGCTATTTTGAGAAGCAAAAAAAAGGTCCCAGCTCTCGCTCTTTATTTTACAATCATGTTATGACAGTGACAAAACCTCCAATAATTCAATAATGCTGAACAATTTCTTGAGCAGTCCAATTAAAGTAGGCAATATGGTACCAAACAGAATTGTGTAAGCCTTTATTTGTAACATACAACTTATCCAAACTGGTGAAGAGTCAAATCAAATTCTCATTACAAATCACTGGTAGACACTGAAATATTATAATCATATGCAAAGAAAAGTAAAAGGTCATCAACTGTAAAATAAATACTTAATAATCTTGTAGCATGTTAATGTTGATACACATCTTGAAAAACATTTCACTGTATGTGCATGATCAACAATGACCTGATGTTGTATCACATCACCTATCTGATTTAGTTATATGTCTTAGTGGGTAAAATAATGAAAACGTATACAGAGCAAACTAACAAACCTACAAATTATTTTTAAAACTGCATTTGTAATTATATGGAAACTGAAAAAAACAAGATCAGGGAACATTTTTTATTTATTTTTATTTCACCACAAACACTAATCTTCTTCAGGTTCAACAACGCTTACTCTTGAAGCCAACTTCGTGGCCTTTCTTGCTAGGTAACGTTCTCTGGCTGAACTAACAGTCTGTTCCATATTTCGTTTAGCAAATTTCGCAGGATTCATTTCACTTTTAGTAATTTTTTCCCTCTCACTTTCGTTTTGTTCATCAGAATGCAGTGTCCATTGCTGATCAAGTTCATTCCTTGTTTCTGTGGACTGGATTTTTTCCTCTTGAATTTCATTTCCTTCTTCTACATCTGGTGTACTTTCTTCATCACTGTCTTGGTGCTCAATATTGTCAACTTCATTATCAGTCTTTCTAACTTGGTCATCAATGCTGTCATTAATATTGCTTTCATTGAGGTCAATTTCTTTATCTCTGTCCTCATTTTTGCTTTCTTTGCGATCAATAATGTTATCGCTATCATCATCACTATCTTTTTGACGATGATTTTTTTCATCTCTGTTTCTATGTCTGCTCCTTTCTCTGTCTCTATTTCTATCTTTGTGTCTTTCTTTGTGCTTTTCTCTGTCTCCATCTTTTCTTCTTTGTCTTTCATCTCTGTGTCGGTCTCTGTGTCTATGACTATCTTTGTGTTTGTGTACTTTGCTACCCTGATGCAGTTCCTTTTCACTCCCAACTTTATCTTCTACTTCACGACTGCTTACCATTGTACTAAAAATAATAAAAATACATTCAACAGTTTATAATATGTTTAATTGAATAATGTATACATTGTATTTAAATAAGATTTTAAAAAGTAAAATATATACAGTGTACAGGGTAAGCTATCCTGTTCGCATGTACAGGGTAACTACTCTGTCGGTATCTTCCAGCAACCCTGTAGCATGCACCAGACATATCCCTGATTGTCACCATCACTGTATAACTTTGTTAATATAACAAGCAGGGTTATCCTTAAGATTTTGATCAGAAAGCTGAATCAAGAAAGTAGGCAACTAAATTGTATTCTTTCAAACATAGTAGTTAGATGGCTAATGGATCATTATGAACAAGAGTAGAAGGCTGATTAGCCAGCAGCTGCCTTCTAAGGAAACCTCTGATTACAAGTCTTTATGCTATTTCTAAGTACACTAACCTTTGAGTCACCTCCGGTTTCTCTTCACTGTCTCCCACTTTTTCTTCCCCTACGGTCTGATTTAACAGATGCCTATAGAAACCACTTAAGTCTTTCTGCTTGGTAACATCCAACTTTGCTGTAAAAATAAAAACAAATTGTTAAGTTTCCAATTTCAGTTTAGTTGGTTTGTTACAGAAACTTTTTTGTTATTGTTTTTTTTAGTTTTTAGTGACCTTACTGCAGATCTTTCCAAAATCAGTGTTGTGTCAATAAATAAATTCAAAAAACTATGCAGAAATCACAAATCACAATGGAAAGTTATTCAGATAAAATGATTAGACAAAAAGTACAGATAAATATCCTAGTAGTAGTTGCAAACAGTGCTGTGTGAAATCATAAAAGCTGTTAACATAGGAAGCACAAAAATAATACATGGCAAGGTAAACATGTACTGCATGTGTGACTCAAACAGACACACAAACACACTGGCGCTAGCTACACATCAATGCATGTCTTCCCCGTGTAACATCCATTACCCATGAGTGTTTGCAGGCTCTCTCCAATTATTGGCTAATATATTTACATACTGCCATGCATCTGCTAATGCGTTGTGATTGGTGCAGTTGTTTTAATTGTCATTTGAAATTTATTATTGAATATTTTACAGAAAAAAAACATTCATGCTTTCGTGAAAATCACTGTAAAATGGAAACAATATTACCTTCCAGTTCAGCTTGTCTCTTTTCTTTGAATTCCTCTTCTGCTCGTTCTTCTAACTTCTTTCTATACGCCGAAGTCACAAACTCCTCTTTATTGTCAAACTCATCTCCCTCATCTTCTCTCTCTTTTTGTATCTTTCGTTCCATTCTACGGTCTTGTTCTTTTTTCCTAATTGTAGCTGCCTTTAGAAGACTATTGATATACTTAGGCTGTCGAAAGATAAATTATGTAACATTTTTATATTACATAAATTAATATTTTATGAATACCGGTATATTCATAACTGTATCACTTATCTCAGGTATGTATAGGTATTAGAAGTACATAGCTGATACAAGGTACACTTTACACTATAGAAGCCAGAACCGAATGCAGATGATAATTAGAAGTAGATGAAAAAAGTAGCAGGAGCAGGGAATATTTGCAATCGTGTTATGTAAATTTGGGATGTCCTTGGCTTGAAAAACATTTGTAATGAAAAACTTGAAAACATATCTCAAGCTTGAGCTAGCTCACTCCGTGTGTTAATTAGCTTGATGACACGAAAATCAGAAAAAGTTCTTTCACTGACACAGGTGAATTCATTTGCACCATGATACGAGTAGTTATATAATAGGTAAATACGCTTTGGTTTTAGCCAGCCACCAACATGTATCTACCTGTCACTGCATCTCAAATTTCGTCCACAATGATACAAACAAATACTAGTATTTGGTTTTTGATCACATGGAGATGCTGTTTGATTTCATTGATAATTGTATGGCATGTTGAAATGGTAATGCTACATATGTACTTCAGCTAGTTTTCAGTAGTATATGTTTTGCTTTTGATGTACACAGTCCTAAATATTGCCATTTGCACCAAAAAGTAAATCCGCTAGCACTTTTTTACCTCTGATGACTTACTAAAAGTGAAGCCAACTACCTTTTTGTCTGATTTCCCTTTCAACAAGAGACTCTCTTCTTTCTTTTTTCTTTCCATCTCATCATAAATTGAATCATATTCATAGACTGTGGGGTCTTCTTCTAAAGCTTTCTGCATTTCCACTTGTGTCTGTTTAATGTAACATATTCAACTGTTAGTAACAGTAGAAGAGGGAATTCCTGTGAGGATGCATCTTTCTGAAAGAATTGAGATAATTGCTAAAAAGTACCAATGCATGTAACTCACCTGCTTCTTTATTTGATTTTTGATAGCCACTTTCTTAAGTGACATATTAATCTGCGAACTTGCAGTTTCCTGAAATAATGGCAAATAGTAAATAGCAATCATTATTTGGTGTAGTCATAGATAATGTATTAACAAACAGTGAAGAACCTCTAATATTACCCGGTACATTACAATTCTACTAAATAGAACAACTTCAGACAAGTTGTCTGAATGTCCCTCGAAATGGTCTATACGCCAGTTGTGATAATATTTTGTTTTATATTTTTGACAACATCTCGGGCCAAAAAAAGGCATGCAGGGATCAGCACAAGTTCACAATCTATCAGTACAACATTGCATTGTTTGTAAGTAGAACACACAAGTCGATGACGGCATACACAAACTTCACTACATGTATATAATGTACTAGTTGCACAGAGCAACTCACCTCATCGCTGGAATCATCTTGAAAAATTGAGAGTTTTTGTGCAAGTACTGGTTTTGCAGTCTTTTTAATCAGTCCATACCTGGTACAATATAAATAATGCATGTGATTATTAATTTAGTATTGTAACGTGTACATGTACAATCCATCATCTTCATTTTTATAAATTTCACAATTCAAAGTGAGACTTCTATAAGGCAATAATATAACATTTTGAAATGACTTTATTGAACACTATGCTCATCAATTGAATTTGACACCCATTGAAATGCTGTTATGAATATTTAAAAGAAAGGAAAGGGGTGTATTGTGTTGATACATGTGGTGCAGCAAAGACATGTTTATACTTAATATGCTTATCAAAATGTACAAACCCAACTGTAATCTGTAACATTCAAATTCAAACAAGATGACTGGATTGACAAGACAAGACAAGCACACCCATTACTTACCCACATACTGATTTACAGCAAGCTTTTAAAAAATTAAAATTGGCAAAAACAAAACCCACAGGATTTTTTCAAGTAAATAATATGTTTGTGAATATGTGTTGACCTAAACATTTGTACCATAACTTCATATCAGACCACCATGGGTTGCAATCTGTGGGTATTGTGCCACTTGTTTTAAGCTTATTTTATTCATTATTCAAGCATTAACAAAAGATCTACATAAATTACATTTTTTTTCATTTGTTGATGAATTATTTTGAATATTTTGTATTAACTTAGGATAAATTTGTACACATGATTTCAAGAACATTACACATATGTTGTACTTCACAGATACATTGCAAACACTGCCATGCACATATACACGGGTAATCCCTAAAAAGAGATTTGAAGTGTTATTGTTGGCTAATTTCCAAATCCCCCACTAAACCCCAAGGTGGGGAGGGTGGGGGTGGGGGTTGACATTGACTGGAGCATACTATAAACAACGGCACAGTGTAAAATCTTAAATACTGGTACACCAACAACGTATATGAGACGTATACTGTGACGTGGACGAATACATTTTTTAGTTGTGTACTACCACTGCCACTTTCTGGTACATATAAAACTATAATTATACTGAAATATGGGTTTAAATGCGTGAACTATTGATTAAAATTTAACTCACTGTTTTCCGTGACCGTAAGTCGCCATTTTGTTACCTTTGACCACAGCCCGCAAAGAGAGCCGACAATGGAAACTGACATATAAATTTATCCGACACTAAACATTCTACCTGGTTTTAAAAGTAGTGGGTATTGTGAACACCATTGCAGTGGTGCAATAAATTCGATATTAAATAATGAATAATTTGTTTTATATAAAATATTTATCAATTTCAAATGTATAAAGCGTTGTAAAGAACCTACATTTCCGGAGGGTCGGCAAGGGGTATTTTCGTAAGCTGTAATCAACTTGTTTTTATTTATGTAATAATGTAATTTAAATAAATAAAAAAAACGTAAATCCGTAGACATGGGTTAGGTGTAAAATGTAATCAAGACCTTTGCTAAGGTCTATGATGTAATCATCTGTTTTATTCATCCGTAATTTATACAAAGATATTTTTTTTTGTAAGCCTATAAAGCATGTTCCAAAATAAATGTCGTAATTCGTACGCAATTTCCAATTTCGATTCTTAAACTCAAATTATCACAAATATTATAAAAATGTAAAATGTAATTAGGATTTTGTTTTATCTGTAAAATGTAAATTTTTACTGTAAATGGAATTGTTATTTTATTTCCTGTAAAAATGTAAAATGCCGTTTTTATTTCATGTAACCTGTACCAGCTACCCCCCCCCTCTTTCTGTAATATCACAGTAACGAATAAGATGTCTTTCAATATAACTACTCTCATCTTTGCAATGTCCACATGAACACTTAGATGCACAAATATCACAACAACTGTGATGTAATAATTTGTTTTTTTTTCAATTGATTATTTTCCGGACTTGAAGCAAATCTTCACAAAGTTTCACCTGACAAACCACAATTTCTGATGAAAAATATCTAAAAAAAAGGAGCACATTAACATTAATTTGTTTTCATCATTTCATACAAACTTCATTAATTACAATACAAACATTATTAAGGTAGAGATGCAGGTTCTAGGGCACTTGGGAGTGAATTTTTTTTTTTTTTTTTGCTTTTTATTATTCAAAAAGTCTTGGCTATAGACTGTTGAAATTTTGTAGAATTGTGAATAGTGGAACATACTCAAAAAACGATTTTAAAATATAGATAACAGGTGCAAAATTATCTCTTTTGAATGCTTAGCAAGATTTAGCAAGGCTGTACATAAATAATAAAAGAAAACATGGTGAAAAAAAGAAATGACGGAATCTCCATATTATGCACTGTATTTAATTTTTTACAAAACGATAATACATTTAAATTTGAAACTGTAACAGCCATTTTAATTATGAGCATTAGCAAACTTCTTACTCAGTGAATTGTTATGCAAATTAGCAATTATCTCAGCTTTTTTTTAGTGCACATTCCAGAACTTAAAAAAAAAATAGCTCCGAGACGCTTTGACCTTTTGTTTTGAAATTTTCACAAATGATTGACAGTGTGTTTATCTTCAAAACGCCGTCGGGGCATTGTTTTTAGTTGAATAGTGTTACAGCAATCGTACAGACAACTAGCCTGGGTGTTAATTTATGCATATACTTGAAGTAGTGAAATTTGAGCTGCTACCCTACAAAATTGACAACTGGTAGACAGTTTTCAAGACGGCGCTTTCTTCATAAGTAAACAGATGTACCCATAAACCAATTTTGACAGGAAACAGAAGCATGGTTTAGAAGCTATTTGTTTTTAAATCACTTTTGACCAAAAAAGCACATTTTTGTGCATATTTCAAACTACAGTGTCCATAAAAATAAAATAAAACAAAACTTTAAAATTCATACAATAATCTTTCCGAAAATATATAGTTTTGTGGACAAGGGAGGTCATCTTGGTTTCCTAATTAAATAATTAAAATACCTGTCAGGCAAACTGCATCTCTACCTTAAAGAGATCATCAACCCACGTTTGTATGATATTATTGATCAAAATGTACTTGTACTTTTCCAGATCTAAATTCAGCCATCTATATTGAGTATAATTTGATGCCTGGTCCCATATGACACACATAATAAAATTCCACACACAAAAAAAGAATTTTTTTCATATTGATGACCTAATTTATGAATTTGCATACAATGTACATAATTAATGACATTCAAGAAGTGTACTCATATTTCATAGAATACCCCGGCTTATTAATACATGTATATGACCTTTTACAGAACATAAAAACAGTGCTAACAGAAAATATACTATTTCAAGATGGTAAAATATAGAAACTTAAGTGCAAAGGGTGTGGATCTAATACTTAAAGTGTTAGAGTTGTTACACCACTTCTTATTTGATATGAGGTATACAACTCGTGTAAAATAGATTGTTTAGGCGAAATTCGAACATGCGTGAAGCTGCGTGACGACTATAGGGCTTTAATGTTTTTTCCTCTATGCATTTAAATTACATGTAGCATATACAGTAATGTCACCATTGTTTGGGACAGTTTTTCCTTTTTCTTTTTCTATAGACATTGTATTTTTGATAAACTTTGAAAATGTGCTTTATGGTAATTTCAGCCCTGATTATCAATACAAATAATTCTACCCCATACATACACGTATCAGTGACGGGTCTGGGTGGGGTGGGGGGTTCTTGGGGCCCGGACCACACATCCCTGTCTCCCCCGTTGAAAAAAAATATTCAATTTGTTTTTGTATAATATAAAAATCAATAACTTAGTCTGGCGATTTTAAAGTTTGTACCCCCCTTAAAAAAATCCTGTATCCACCCCTGCTTATAATGCTCAAAATCTTAAGAAGAGGTTTCATGCAAATCCAAAGAAGATGATTTCTCTAGTCACTAATTTGGTCAATTACTGACATAATCTACAGTTGCTAAAAGAACCGTACAAAAATGCAAAAGATAGACTTCATCAAATTTGTTTAAAAATTAAAGCACAAGAATGCAAGAACAAGTACTACCATTATTATTTGGCACAGAATGTTAAATTGTGAGGTAGTTCCAAATGAGGGGTTAAAGGGTGGGTGGTTTGTCAGTTGTGGCGACGGGGTATGATTGGCGGGTAGCTTTTGATCCCACCGTTATCACCATCGAGTGCTAGACGTATATTGAAATGTAATTTGTTCAACGGCTGGTCTGAAAATATGTAATTTAGGTATGTTTAAAGTTTTACTGCTTATTTTAAGTGTTGAGTTAAATGTTATACTACTCGTACCCCAAGCATTGACGCACGTACACACAGGTGGACTAATTCTTATCACACGTCAACTGGAAACATTGTCTGATATGGATTGCATATACACTATGTACTAGTTTTTAGGGTTTTTTTCAAGATACAAAAAAAATAATACCCAATAATATACAGTGTAACTATAAATGGATAACAAGATATATTTTCATCTGACTGAATTTTATTTGAGGGAAAAATACAAATCAAATCAATAAATACCATCTTAAAAAATATATGGAATATTTTAAGCTGAATAAGCAACACATGCAGTTTTCATGGAAAACATGTCAATATTTATTGATAGTACTGGTACACACGCTTGCCAAATGTAACTTTGATCTCTCCTTCATGCCAGCCACAAAATACACTCTGTGCTGAATAAACTACACACAGCGTTAGGGGAAAACTCGTCAATATTTATTGACAATTACAACCATTCTGAAAATTATTCGGCCAGCAAGATGGCTTGCAACTTTGCAAAAATACTTTTCGATTGACTTGATGGCGCTATTGCATTGACATACCTACACTCAGGTCATTCTACTATCAAAATATTGTCGTATTTTTTGTTTGATTAACATTCTGAAATTATATCTCTATTACCATGTACACTAGTTTTACCATACTAGAAGTGTACTATTTCTTTATGGTAGTGATAAGAAATATAATATTGATGAAAATTATGCATTCTGTTCGACCCTCCAAAAATCAAGCCTAAACCTTTGTGTCAGCAAAATTTGCCCCTCAAAATGCAAAAATTAACATTTCAAAATTTTCAAGGGGGAGCATGTCCCTAACCCCCTAGTAAGGTCACGCCTTTGGCCCCCCCACCCCCCACCCCCGCATGAAAAATGTTGTGTACTGGTAAACATTTTGTTACACAAATGTAGTATCTATCGATGTCTGTGTTTTGTATGATGCTGATGTGATTTTATCTTCCTATTTGTAGAATTAAATGACCAATTATGGAAACTGTTATAATATATTTGATGTTATTTATTGGTGTGGTGTTCGCTGAAGACAATAGTGGACAGGGTATTGTAGATGTTCTCAAAGCTCAACACCTTGGTAAGAAATGACTTGTTATGCTCTGATATTTATCTCCCCTGCAAAGTCTTTTCAGTATAATTTGAGTAATACATTTAGTTTGTATTTATTGCTCTGGTTCATAAACCATTGACAAAACCGAGATTGCCTACTTTGTTTAAAAATGTTGCCGAGTACCTGCATTATTTTGTCTACATTATTTGTCTGTCTGTACTTAAAGGGATTTTGATGACATTAACTATTAATTATTTTCTATTCATTTCATACAGGTTTGACAGTCAGTGTGTTTGCTGTGTTGGTGGTATTATATGTTGGCTTGGCAGTTTTTATATACAAACCAAGATCCAGTAACAACACAAGATTTCAACCCTTAATGAATGAAATGGACTGAACACATTTCATTGAATACTGGCACTCCTATTTAGTGTGATCAATTTCGCATAATTACAAATGTGACTTTGCTCACATAAGGAATGCATGTATCACTCATGTGTCATTACTGTCTTCATAACCGTTGCATATATATTTTATTTAAAGCGAGAAGATCGTCACCTGCGCACGCGCGGGAATTGAGTCCCAAGTGACAATAACAACAGGCGCTAAAAATGCAAAGGCTCATGGGTAGCCACTTGTTTGTAAACAATGACACGCTATGGCCATCTGACGCATGCGCAGGTGATGACTCCCCCGCTTTAAGCAAGCCTTGAAATTCACAGAGACATCAAAAGGTATTCCCCTGATACCCAATGTTATTCTTATGTGCTGAGGCCATTTTAAGCTCCGCTGTCAACTTTGTTGAGTGGAGCTCGTCATATGAGTCATATTTTTTACTTCTTTGATTTCTTCTTGAAAACTACAAGCCTGATTGCTTTAATTCTCTAATTTTAAATATTTTTGTAATTTTTAGTAAAAAGTGATATTTTCTACTTCTTGTTGAAAACCACAAGTCCATACATACCGGTATAGGTGCTACAAGTGAACCTCTCTCATATTGTTCATTTTATGATGATATCTGTAATTCTCCACTTTAGATAATTTTTGGTAAAAATGATAACACGCAAGTCTGATTGATTTGGCCTTGAATATTGGTTCCTTCTTAAGTTTAAGAATTCTATAGGCCATCGCACTGTGATGTGTGATAACAAATGACACCACTGATCAGCACTGGCATACAGTCTGTTGTTTTAATAACAGTTCCTGTGTTCCACGTACATAAAAATGTAATAAAAACTGAAGCGAACATCATTGTTATTTATCTTTTTTTTATTCCTTGTTTCGCGAGTTTTTATAAGGCAATTTTTTTGAGGAGGGCGGAAAAAAAATAAAATTAATTCTTTTTTTCATTAGATTTGTGTGATTCTCAAAGAATTGTAAGTGAGATCATTGAACGGAGAGAAGAAATGAAATAAAATTTTATTCCATGTATAACCTTGTTTCTCATCTGCGCGAGACTTCGGTACTTTGATCATGATACTCCCCTGAAAATGCAACTTGGATTTGTTATGCGGTGGTCGATAAAAAAATGAAGATAAAAATAATATTTTTTAGCATTTTTTTTTTGCGCTTACAAGTCGGCGGGCGCGAGAAATTACGCTGAAATAAAATTACATTTTTTATTTCATTTTCGGCTCCTGTTCATTCGGCGGGTTCGCGAAACAAGGGGTAATAAAAGTCTGGCCTTAGGTGTGAATGATTGATCCTTGCCAACAAATCACTGTGAACACGAACACACGCAAAACGTAAACAAGTGCGACGGACTATAGATGTCTATCTTTTATTAAAACGTAAGCTTCATTCTATGTGCAATAAGTTTTTTTTTTTATATACCCAGTATGTAAAATAATTTTCACCATTGGAAGAAATCTGACTGTACTGTATTGTGATATTAAGCAAATGTTCTATTGTAATAAAAATTATATAATATAATTATTAATATTTAATAAAGGAAGATTTTGTCTTAAAGTTGTATTATTATATATATTGTATTCGTAGATCTTGACATTTGAAGTATGATGTGCCATATACTCAAGATACTTACAAATACCTAAAATCTATGGTTGTGAATGAGTTTCCAGCATTCTAGCGGATCACCAATTCTAATCACAAAAATTTCTGAAAGAAGATTTGAGACAGCTTTCTTAAGAAATCAAAATTCGAAATGATACAAGCAACCCCTCCCCCGAATTGTTTGAATTAACACCCATTTTTCAGTGTTGTGCATGTTTCTGTAGCAAGATTTTAGATTACACAACAGAATTTTAGGTTGTCAAGTTAAAAAAAACAAATTAGGTGATGAGACTCACAAATGCCTTAATTACTGATTTTGATCCATGGCTAGACATGTGAAAAAATTCAACTTAGTTTAAAAGATAAAACAGCTTTAAGGTTATTAGCCAATAAATTCACAAAATCAAGTACCCTTGATATTTTACAGATTGAATCGGAGAGAGTAGCCACACATCCAGCACAGAAATCATTTGGTGCAAAGATTTTGACCTGCTCATCTGAAATAGCAGTTGTTAAATTTGATATATGGCACATGTTACTTCATACGATAAAGGCTACCAACAAAACATGGTCTTTGTGGTTTTCTTGTCTGTAGGTGCGAGTCTGTTTTCCCGATATCTCAAGAACCATTTTTTGGGTTTCAATGAAATTTGCTAGACAGATGATGTGGGATATGTGTTCATAATAATGACCGGATTTGCTCAATAATTAGCCATATTTAGCTTTTCCTGTGATAACGAATTTAAATGAAACTTGGTGAATAGGTGTGCTTGGGGATTTCA